GAATAGACAGCCGAGGACCACGGTGCCGCTGAGGCTCACCGAGACGCACATGGTGGTGGTCTGTACCTGGAGACAGGGGTGGGCGTCAGGCGCTCCTGCCATCAGCCCTCTTCCCCAAGCAGGGCGGGATGAAGCCCTCGCTGTGACACCAACCAGCCCCCACTGGGCTGAGGCTGCTGCCTGCACCCCACGGGCACATCCCACCCCACGGGCACATCCCACCCAGGTCCTCTCCAGAAGCCCCTGACTGCAGCCAACCCCAGAGTCCTACAGGCCTGGCAAAACTGTGGCTGGGCACCTTACTGGGGGAGGTGGATGTGCTGCCATGTGCATCCCATGCTTCCCCATTGCCAGCATGGCTCAGCTCCCCAGGGACACTGGGGGAGGGAAGGTCTGGATGGGCTGGGGACTCTTGTGCCTTCGCATTGCGAGGCTGAAGGATGGCAATGGCAGCTCCATGGTTGGGTGAGCTCTCTGGAGGTCTCAGGACCATTTCCCACCCTCACTCTAGCAAACAGCCTGCCAAGGGGTTGGGGTGGTATCATCTCCCCAGCACTCACTGCCCCCTCAGGCAAGACCTTTCAGCCACACCTCACCCGGTCCCAAGAGGTAACCATTTCCAGGTCCATGACCAAAGAAAGACCCTTCCCCAGGCCCACTCATCTCCTCGCCACAAACCCTGTGGTGCCCAAATTCCCAGGACCACTCAGGTTGGGCCCTGTTAGAGGCCCCCCAAAGCTCCAGCCCTTACTCGGTAGTCACTGGAGGTCACATAGAAGATGGGCAGGAAGGCCAGCCAGATGATGCAGGTTGTGTACATGGTGAACCCAATGAACTTGGCCTCATTGAAGTTTTCGGGGCATTTCCGTGTCTTGAAGGCATAGACTGTGCAGAGGACAATCAAGAGGACGTTGTAGGTGAGCGAAATGAGCATGTTGGAATCGCGGTTGTTGCACTTGAGGGTGACGATGTACCTCTTATCAGGCTCTGTCTCCTTGCCTGTGCCAGGGGTCTCCACCAGCAGCCAGATGATGACAATGATCAGCTGGCAAGAGATGAGGGCCATGCAGATGACCACCTGTGATGTGGGGCTTATGAACCGGGGGCGCTGGACCCCTTCCTTCACCCCGCTGAAGATCCTGGCGATGCGGTTCGTTTTGGTCAAGAGAGCCGAATAGCAGACGGCGAACGATGTGCCCAGCCCCAGGCGCCGGAGTGTGCACACCTCCATGGAGGGCTTCGCGATGAAAATGAAGGTCATGCTGTAGCACATAAGGACTCCGGTCAGGAGAATGTAGCAGAGCTCCCGGCCGGAGGCCTTCACGATGGGGGTGTCATTGTTCTTCATGAAGACTCCAAAAACGAAGAGGGTGGAGATAAAACCCAGGCAAGAGATAGTGACGGGCCCAATGGCCCAGGCATCTTTCCAACGGATGTACTCTTGGGGCAACTCATAGCAGCCATTCAGAGTCTCATTGGGCCAGTAACCGAGGCCACAGTCCATGCAGGTGAACTCATCGAGCAGGTACTCGTAGGGCTGGCAGGGGATGCAGATCCAGCAGCATATGTCTCCAGGCTGCATGCTCTTTATCTCGTTCTTCTTACAGGGGTCGCTGCACTGGGACACGGGGATGGAGCTCTCGGCCCATGGGATGAGGCTGGTGTTGAGACTGAGGCCCTCAGCCCAGTAGCCCACCTTCTGGTATTGGTACCGCCCGTCCATGTGGTGGTAGTTGAAGATGTTGTAGCGCCCGATCCCATCACCGTAGCGGTCGAATCGAACTACACTCTCGGTGTCTGCTGGCCTGAAGGGAGCTGCAGAGAGAAGGGGAGAAGGTCACTGCTGTGGGGCGGGAGAGAGCCCACTCCTGGCATGGAGGCAGGGCTCCATCAAAGGGTCACATCCCACCACGGCCACAAGCAAGTGTCCAACCCATTCCCTGCCTTCATGCTCATACTGGCTGCCTATACCTGTGCTAGGAGCAGGAAAGCAACGGTGGAGAACCATCTCCCCAGGTGCCCAAGAACCAGGCAGCCTCCACGGCTCTCAGTGACGCCTGGGTAGCCAGGCCCAGCCCAAGTCACAGGGAAACAGACTTCTAATCCATCCCACACTATGTAGGTCAAGAGTCTCCCCCCTGTTTAATTTCTGAAATATGAATAAATCACGATGTTTGCAAGCGCCATCTCCAAAGACCCACATTCCTGGTCCACCCAGCTCTAGCGGGAGGGAGTTGGTGACCAGCTTCTCCACACTGGGGACAGAAGGCCTGGACTGCTGCCCAAGGGTGATGGTGGGTTGTTGGCATCCTGGGACAACCACAGCTCACAGCAGAGGGGTCCCTGGGTGTGGGCAGGCTGGAGGAACTGGAGGGTTTTGGGTCAAATCTGGGTGTCTCACCTCCTCCCTGCCCCTCCACCCATCCTTTCCTGGTTAGGCAGCCAAACCCCATCTCCATCTCTGGACTCACCATCAAAATTAACATTGAGGATAAAGTCCTTGTAGAACCTCTTGCCATTGACAGGCTTCATGGCGTCGCAGAGCTTGGTGGCGTTGGGACACAGCACCCGGTGCATGTTGTGGAGGGAGTGAGCCATGGCATAGACCGCGTTGACCACGAATGTGATCTTGGACTCAGGCTCAAACTTGCCTGTCTTGAGGGAGTACCGACTACAGTCCTGCGTGTGGAAGCTGCACTTGAATTTCTGCTCCCAAAACTCCCGAAACCAGGGATTTCGGCTGTTATTGTAGGGGTTGAGGTTACGGAAGTAGGCAGCAAACTCCTTAATGGGGTAGGCTGCTAGCTCAATGGTGATTGCTCCCTCTGCCACTGCTTCGCTCCCAGCCACCACGCTCTCCCGGGCTCCCCACCCGTCACTGGCCACCCACATGAAGGACACGTTGGCCCTCTGGGCAGCCGCCAGCAGCTCCCGGGCATCTTCGCTTCGGGTGAACAGCACAATCACTCTGGCGTTGGGCTTCTGCAGCAAAGCCCGGACCACCCCATCGTAGGTCTTCTTGTTCATGGAGCGCCCCACCTTCTCCGAGGTGGCGATGCAGATGTTGCGCATGCGAGCTTCTTGCTCAAAGGCCTCGATCCCTGTCTCCCCATAGTCGCCCTCTGAGGCCACAGTGGAGACATAGGTCCAGTTGAAAAAGCGGAGGATCTCGGCCATGGCTTTGGCTTGGTAGAAGTCCGGCGGGACAGTGCGGGCGAAGTAGTCATAGCGGGACTTATCGCTGAGCTTGGCGCTGGTGGAGGCGTAGCTGATCTGTGGGATCTGGAAGAGCCGCAGGAGGTTGGCCACCTGCGTGGAAGAGGAGAGGTGAGCATACAAAGAGTTGGCCCGGTGAGGGACGTTCCCACCGCAGGACCACTGCCCAACACCCAGTGTTTCCTGGTGCTTCCCAGCACAGCCGTGGGGCAACCCCCTGCCCACAGAGGGTCCCAGCTGGTGGCAGGCAGATGGACGGACGGATGGACAGCACATTCACATGGTTGCCTGAACCCTCAGATGTGCCCATGGTGTTTATTTTCTTCTTTAATATTTCATGCACTCCCCTCTGAAATTCAGGGCTGGAGCGGGGATAACCGGATTCATGGCAAAAGCAGAAACGCCCTCACAGGCAATCTGTGGGAGATGCTTGAGGGCAAAGAGAAAGCCGGGGTGCCTGACAGCCCTGCGGCACAAGGGAAAAAGGGCTCTGGGGGCCAGGAGCTGGGGCAGAGCCT